AAATCTGTCGAAAAATCATCCTACTATCTATGAAAATTTTGTTCACGGGAAATTTGTCGTGCAAAATTCAAACAGAGGGTTTTCGAGCATTTCCATCGATCAAGCTCATGAGCAGAATAACAAGAAAGTAAAAGGTGACGGCGGCATAATCGGAATCACATCAAACGAAGTTGCACTTAATGGATGCTGGCAGGACCTTATGTTGCAAGACTTCTACAGCAGTTCAAGAGTCAGATAGCTGCTAAAAAGACAACTAAAGAAAACTTTCGGCATCATGAAGATTCACCTGAGTTTTAAAAAAGATTTCATGATCACATAGAAAAATTGAAAAGTGTGTTTCGAGAATTTGGAAATCCATTTTTAGAGGAATCAAGAGATTGTTTGGTGATTATCAATAGCAGAGCTATGCTAGATGGAGATGCCATAAAGAATTTATACCAAGCTGAAGAGATCGGTAAAAAGCAGTTAAAAGAGTTCCTTACCGAGAGTGTAAGTCAAGCAACTGTTTCTCTTTTGGATCCAATCAAACGAAACAAATTGAAAATTTTTACCACATCCCCGAAGAAATCGAGGATTCAAGTTCAACTCTACACAATGAAGAATGATGTTTCGCTTTTTTCAAGACTATTCATGGCTTGTCAAAATAGGGAAGGCGACCTCAAAGATTTCTTTTCGCACGAAAATCAAGGTAGTCCACCATCTATCTCTCTTAACGACAGGTTGAGACCCGGGAATAAAGCAGAACTGCTAAAATGCTTTGAAACAAGTACCCAGAAAAGTGGAGGATTGAACATTCATTATTCAGGGAAGATTGTAGTGGTTGACGGAGCAGCATTGATAAATTCAACAAGACCAGAGGGTAAAATGACATTTGAGTCTTACGTCAGTCAAAGGGTTCTTCCCAGATTACAGAACTTTCTCTCAGGTGTCAAAAGAATGGACGTAGTCTTTGACGTGTATCATGAAAGATCATTGAAGAATACAGCAAGACTTTGTCGAGGAGAAGGAGCACAAAAACGTGTGAAAGCAAGCGATTCTGTGCCAAAGGATTGGAAGTCATTACTTCGAAATAGTGACAACAAAACATAATTTTTTCTTACATTGCAGAATATATTCACAGTAATCTTCGACCAATCGAAAAGAATGTTATTGTAACCATAGGCGATAATGCTCTCTGTTGGCCAAATCAAGACACAACTTTGTTACATCCATGCAACCACAAGGAGGCGGACACAAGAATGTTTTTGCACCTTGCTGATGCAATTAATCGGGCGTCCTTGAGGAAGGCAGTGATTTATATGGTCGACACAGATGTAGTTGTTCTTGCTGTAAATGCTGTATCGAGGTTAAAAGATTTGGAAATCAAGATAGCATTTGGATCGCAACAAAACTTCAAAGTTATTGATGCCAATTTGATCTTCATATCTATTGGATACGACAAAGCAAGGGTAATAACTATGTTTCACGCTTTAACAGGATGTGATACGGTTTCATTTTTTCACAGTAAAGGCAAAAAAACTGCAATGACAGCATGAAACATGGTAAATGATGTTAATGGGCCCTTCCTTAGGATAATGCAACAACCGGATTATATCAGAGAAGAAGACATGAACACAATTGAGCAATTCGTAGTTGTAATGTATGACAAGTCAAGTCAGTCATCAAATGTAAATGAAGCACGATTGCAGCTTTTTGCGAAGAAGAGTCGATCTCTGGAAAATAAACCTCCGACAAAAGCAGCCCTGGAGCAGCATGTTCGTAGAGCAGCACTTCAAGCAAGTTGCTGGGAGCAAATGTTTGAACCTTCGCCGACTTTGCCGCAACCAGACAAATGCGGTTGGATAAGTGTAGATGGAACATGGCAGCCGAAATGGAGTGATCTTCCAGAAGTGGTGGAAACTTTGAGAATTCTTGTAAAATGTGGATGCAAAAAGGGGTGCAAGAAAGCCTGCAAATGTGGCAGATCCCAAATGAAATGTACAGCGCTTTGTTACTGTGGAGGGGAATGCTCAGAATAAGTTACATTGTTGATTTCCAGTTACTTCAGTTGTCATAGGAGGATTTCTCGAGAAAGTTCACGCATGCGCATTGCTTTCTTTCAAATTAAGTACTTAGTTAATCAAATAAATTGTTGTTTTAAGTTTCTCATATCAATCAGGGCAATTTTTGATAGTTTGTTTTTAATCAGAATGTTTACCTTACTGCTATTTTCAATTTTGTAACACGATATCCAATTCTAAGGAAATGACGTCATAAATACATCATAAATCTATTTTTAGAATGCCTCCAACTCTTAAAATGTTTGCCTGTGTGAGATCTACTTATGTGCCAAATATCATGCTTTTAACACAAAATGCACAATTCTTCTCTATAATCAGCTACGTCACTATGGAATCCCATGAGATGCGGGTGCATGCGCTACAAGTCATTGCGGACTTCGCTGCGAGTCATCACGACGTGTTTTACAAGCTTCCAAATCGCGATAAGTGTACGTGTAAGTGTACAAATTTTCGATTTCTAGTTGATTTAACTCGGCTCAAACATTATCAATTTAGTCTTGTTCACAGTTAATTGGGAAAAACAAAATGTTAAATTTCTCCATATTTCTCTAGAAATGTCAGAGTCAGAGGACAAAACTGTGTCTGAGGATGGAGCAGAACGGCAGGAACCTCCATTAGAGACCACGCCTTCCATTGACCCCTCATTAAACAAAACTTTGTTAGAAATAAATACAAATATGGGTAACATGGCGGCTCTTCTCCATCAACTGTCATCGGGTAGTTTGGCAATTGGCCACCAGCCAGCCCGTCCCATTTCCACCAGAATGAACCTCTTGTCCACCGGACTTCCTACTTTGCCACCGGGCTTGTTGCTTCATCGTCCACCGGAGTAAACCCAAACAATAAACGAAATTTATCAGACCCCGATGAATCGGAGCCACCAGAAAAGCGTAATGTTACCAATGATAATAACATTGATGAAAGCCTTAGCATTTATGCAGATGATGATACTGATTCACTTGTGGGCAATGCCAACGATCTATTAGCAAAAACTAAGGCCAATAAACAAAGTGAGCCAACCGGGCCATCAATCTCAGCAGACCCAGACACATCTGAATTTCTTGATGGTTTAACCAAAGCACTTGAAACCTCTGACGATCTCGGCGCTAACGTAAATGATAAATTGGCCGAGATAATTAACAAGCGTTGGGGAAAGACGTTAACCACTGAGAAATTGAAAATTATTCTTGACAAATACAAAAGACCAGCCAACTGCACTGCACTGCACCCTATTAAGGTCAACAAAGGTGCATGGGGACATCTTAAATATTATAAGAAACAGGAAGATCTAAGGTTAGCTAACATGCAACAAGTTTTACCGAAAGTTGCCTACATAATGTTGCAAACCACAGATTTTCTCCTTGTAGAGGCTTCTTCCTCACAACTCGAGGAAATTAACAATTATGTCTCCCAGTCAGTGGATGCACTTGCACTCTTAGGTCACCTGACTGGAAATATCTCGTCTCTTAGACAAAGCACTATGAAGCCCCTTCTAAGACCGGAGTATCAACCACTTTGCTCCTCCATCACTGAAATCCCACATGGTCCCCACCTTTTTGGTGAAGATTCAAATAAGCAGCTAAAAGAAGCTGAAGAATCTAACAAGGTCGCCAAGGCTTTCAAAGGAAACCCTAAAAATCGCTATAAACAGCAACCTTTTATCCAAAGCCCTTCCCAGCAAAACAATGCAAGGCGTGATTTTTATGGCGGGGCAGCCAGAATCAATTTCGGAAAAAGCAACCGTATCAGGGAAACAGCCGGTTCTAACAGAAATCCGGCCAAACACAACAAACAGGGAAAAAATTTTGATTGATTTGCAACTGTTAAATGTAAGTGGATTTATTGCTTATTTCCCTTGCCTTATATCTTTATTTTTACATGAGTGTGAAAGCTTTAGAGCTGGTGGAGTATCAAAATTTCTACCGGAATGGAAGTCAATTACTGCTGACCCAGACATTATTTCGCACATTTCTGGGGTCAAGATTGAATGTGATTTTCTTCCTGAGTCACAATTTAATCCAACTGATTTGCTATCATTCAAAAAGAGATTGATACATTGTTATCAAAAGGGGTTCTAGAACCAGCATCGCCAGTAGCTGGGCAGATAATTTCGCCTATTTTCCTCCGTCCAAAACCTGATGGAACACACAGGATGATATTGAATCTTAAACAATTTAACCAGTGCGTGACGTACCACCATTTCAAAATGGACACATTAACTACGATCACTAACTTAATTACACCCAATTGTTTTATGGCATCCTTGGATTTGAAAGATGCTTATTATAGTGTTTTTGTTGTCCATGAAGATAGAAAATATCTTAGGTTTACATTTAATGGCAATTTACTGCAATATACCTCATTACCAAATGGTCTTTCTTCTTGTCCACGCATTTTCACAAAGATTCTAAAACCGGTTTTGTCAACCCTTCACAAAGAAGGGCACAAAGCATCTGCCTACATTGATGACATATATTTGCAAGGCCACACTTTTGAGGAATGCCTAGCAACCGTAATGAAGGCAATTAAGCTGTTTACAACGTTAGGTTTTATCATTCATCCTAGTAAATCAACTTTTATTCCAAGTCAGAAAATTAAGATGCTCGGTTTTGTTCTTAATTCTAAGGATATGACTGTAAGTCCTACACAAGATAAACGAGATAGCACAATCGCTCTTTGCTCAAACATTCTTCATCGCAAAACAAATTCCATCAGGAATGTTGCGCAACTTTTGGGCAAGATAGTTGCTTGCTTTCCAGGGGCATTGTTTGGACCACTTTTCTACCGTCAAATAGACCATGAGAAAACAATGGCCCTTAAACAAAACAAAGGCAATTTCAACAAACAAATGGGCTTGTCCTTTGATGCCAAGACAGAAATCAAATGGTGGATTGAAAACTTGCCAGGGTTTTTAAGCCATTAACACGAAATCATGGTTCTATGGAAATGAAAACTGATGCGTCTCTTCAAGGTTGGGGAGCTACTTGCCAAAATATTTCCACCGGAGGACTATGGTCGTTTGACGAGAAACATAATCACATAAATTATTTGGAAATGTATTCTATTTTTCTAGCATTGAAAACATATGCAAATGATCTAACAGATAAGCATATAAAAATTTTATCTGATAACTCAACAGCAGTACTTGTGTTGTCACACATGGGTACTAGCCGTTCAATTACTTGTAACAATTTATGTAAACAAATTTGGTTTTGGTGCATTGAACGTAACATATGGTTAACACTAGCACATATCCCTGGAAAACAAAATATTGAAGCAGATAGGGAGTCACGACGCTCTGCTAATACCTCTGCAGAATGGAAATTAAACTCTAAGATTCTGCAGTCATGTTTAACTGATATAGGTTTAACACCATCAGTTGATTTGTTTGCATCAAGGCTCAATAAACAGTTTGACAAATTTGTATCATTCAAACCAGAGCCAGAGGCTTTTGCCATCGATGCATTTACCCTTGACTGGTCCACTTACAAATTTTATGCCTTTCCGCCTTTCAGTCTGATAACCAGAATGCTAAAAAAGATCCAAATAGACCAAGCAGAGGGAATTCGTGTGCTTCCAAACTGGCCTACACAACCTTGGTATTCAAAGCCACAAATTGATGAAATCAAAGCCAATTTTACTGAAGCCAAGTCGTTGATTGCTTCAGCTGCCTTCGAGCCCTTCTGCGATTCATCCCCTTTGCAACAACCTTCATCTCGTGGTATGTCTCTTATCAGCCAAAAAATAACAACCTCAGAATTATCCAGCTCCGCCAAGCATATTTTACTTTCCTCTTGGCGACCTGGAACCCAAAAACAATATAATTCGTACCTTGATCGCTGGAAAACATATTGTGCTCAAAACTCAATTCAGGTTTTCAACCCTACCATTGAGCAATGTATTGAATTTTTAACCAGTTTATTTGACAGTGGCCTTGGCTATACTGCCATAAATACAGCGAGATCAGCCCTTTCGTCTATAATTACTTTGTCAATGGTTTATCAATAGGGGACAACCCTACTATTTGTAGATTTTTCAAGGGCGTTTTTGAGCTAAGGCCTGCTCTACCGAAATACAACGCTATATGGGATGTTGGTACACTCTTGGATTACTTAAATCAGCTTAACCCCATTTCTAAATTGAGTCTCAAAGAATTAACACACAAAACAACAACACTCTTACTTTTGCTCACTGGTCAACGTTGTCAGACGATTCACAGTATAGAGCTCTCTGGCATCCAAACTTTTCCGGATTTGGTTCGCATCACAATTTTAGAACCAATTAAAACATCGAAACCTGGGAAACACGTTCAACCTTTGGAATTAAAAGCGTTCCCTACTAAACATAACCTTTGTATCGTTTCACATCTAACCGAATGCATAAAACGTACATGTATCTTTAGAGGTTCCCATAGGAAACTCTTTTTAAGTTATCAAAAGCCACACAACCCGGTTTCTCGAGAGACAATTTCTCGGTGGGTGAAATCAACCATGAAATTGGCTGGCATAGAAACAAATGTTTTTACGGCACATAGCTGCAGATCTGCCTCGACTTCAGCAGCCAATGCATCTGGCCACTCTTTGCGTGAAATTTCCAAATCTGTGGGTTGGTTCAATGCAACTACTTTCGCAAGATTTTATGATAAACTTTTAATTTCGGACAACTTTGGACAATCAGTTTTGAGTAATTTAGAACATTAACGAATTATTTAGCCTACTAACATTTCTTATCAATATAATTTTCATTAACATACCATATTGTTATACTGTGTTGGACCTGAAACTTTAGTCCTTTTTCCTTTGCCACTTGACTTAGCCCTTGGGTTCGGAATTACAGGGCTTTGAAGTCTCATGGGATTCCATAGTGACGTAGCTGATTATAGAGAAGAATTTAAAAATTAAACGAGACTTACCCAGTAAGTTGAAGTTTGATTGGAATTCTTCTCTATCATCAGCAGGTACGGAGGAACTTCAACTTACTGGGTAAGTCTCGTTTAATTTTTAAATTTTACCACATATTCATTGCACTACAGGAAAGTGCAGAATACGCAGAAGAAATATCAAACCCCGTTAAGGCAAACGTAAATGAGGAAAAAAAGTCCATTACAAACATTGTAGAAGTGAAACGGTTTAGTAACAAGAATAAAGCATTGCGATTCATTCAGGGGCGCAGTGGCTGGGGGGGGCAGGGGGGGCAGCCGCCCCCCCCTGGCAAAATTTTTGTCGGATTGTCGGAAAATCCAACGTTTGTCGGAAAATTTGAAATATTAGACAAAATGTAAGGTTTTCATCGATCCTGTCTAAAAGGTCGCATATTTTTTAAACCTGTCGTAAAATAGTGCATGATCAACCCTTCTTACTTATTTTCATTGGAGTATTTCTCAGAATCATCGCATTGCTGAAATTTGTAAAGGAAATTAACGCTCTGGTCTCAGTTATTTTATAAACTCCCATTTCCGACAGTTAAAATTCAACTCAGTTCATTTCGAAATGAATTCGCAAGTGTTGTAGAAGACGCAAAAAGTTATTATTTTCGCCATGACTTAGAAGAGGAAAATTTTGTCGAGCGACGAATACGCAGAAAGAAAAAGATGCCAGGGGAAAATTGCATAGATGAATTAGAAGGAAATAGGGAATCCGTATATCATCGTGATAGTAGATACAGCTATCAACTCAATGAATACAATATTTACGTCTCATAAGGCAATTTCGACACATTTTGCCTTGCTCAACCCTGAATGTTTTCAAAAAACAATTGAAAGGCAGTTGTGTGCAGTGTAATTAAAAAAGGTTGCGAAGAATTACGGCCTGGATGACGAAAAATTAAGAGATGAGTACAGCTCTTTTGCCAATAATTACCGTAAATTTTGGAAAGTTAGAGAAAAGAGCAACCCTCTCCCGGCTGCAGGAGAAAGAGAAAACTTTTCAGTTCCATTCAGTTCTTGAGTTGATGATAAGTATAACCTGCAAAGTGCCTTTCCACACTTGTTCCTTCTTTGCAAGCTTCTTGTCACTTTGCCAATAGGTTCAACAAACTATGAAAGAGCTTTTTCAAAGCTGAGGATTGTAAAAAAATCGGCTACGGTCAACGATGGGACAAGACCGCCTTTCCTCTCTGATAACAATCAACGTCGAAAGTGATATTTTACAGTCGATAGACTATGGTGACATCATCGATTTGTATGCTGCCACACCTCTTTTGAGAAAGATGCTGCTTGAGTAACAGTTTATATAAATTCAGTTAAAAAAAACTATTCTTTTGGACGCGTTATATCTATTTAAGGTTTAGCATAAATAAATGCAAAGTAATTATGATGCGACTTAAAACTTGCCAAAAACTTTTTGCTATAAACAGCTATAAACACTAACTTGACAGTTTATTGTCTAGTATAGCGAGAAGACTTGTAGGGTGTAAATTTATAACTAGTTGCAGTTTTGTTCATAGCGATTTATATTTGGTAAGTTTTGTTAGAATAAAGGCTATTGTTGAACTTGAAGGTGTATAACCAACGATCCATTCGTTAACGATTTCCAGATCCATTCGTGATATTGTAGTATCAAGTGTTGCAGTATATGCAGCAAGGGTAATCTTCAAGGAATGAATTGACAAAAAATTTGTCGGAAAAATCATAGTTTTATCGGAAAATTTTCAGCTTTGCCCCCCCAAAAAGTTAACTCCCACTGCGCCCCTGGATTCATTAACAATTTAAAGATTATCATTAGCAAATCAGGTGGTAAGCAAATGGACAAAGAGATAAGTGCAGACAAAATGAAATGTGCAGAAATGTTGCTAATAAGAGACATTCAACAAGAGGTCTTTAAGGAAGAACTAAAATTCTTGTTGTGTAAGTCAAATAAGAATAGTAAAGCGTAAATCATCAAACGTAAATCAGCTTAATCTTTTCGTAGATGAGCATGATATTCTTAGGTGTAGATCACGTCTATGTAATGCGTCAATTATGGAGTCTGGTAAATGCCCTATATTATTACCAGCGCACAATTTATACTCGGAACTGGTTGTGTGTGAAGTCCATAATTTAGTTTTCCATAATGGAATTGGAGAAACGTTGAGCTGTTTACGCCAAAAGTATTGGGTGCTTCGGGGAAGAGAGCTGGTCGAGAAACAAATTTGCAAATGTACCATTTGTAAGAAACTTGAAGGTCTACCATTTAAATTTAATGTTACCCCAGATCTACCTTTGGAAAGAGTTTCTGATTGTGTCCCTTTTACAAATACAGGTGTAGATTTTGCTGGACCGTTGATAACTAAAGGTCTAACAGGCCAAAATACTATCAAGTCATATATTTGTCTCTTTACTTGCAGCACAACTCAAGCAGTTCATTTGGAAGTTATAGAATCTTTGGATACTCAGTCGTTTATTAGAGCCCTTAGACGGTTCACAGCAAGGAGAGGGCTAGAGTCACGTCGCCCCTTATGGAACGATTTCAGTAAAAATTGTTTCCTCAGCTTTTTTGTACTTCCTAATAAAATAAACGTACTACAAGCACATTCTTTGCTGTATAATCTACATGCTTGTGTAAAGACAGTCTTATCGGCTTCTCTCTCTTTCTGCACGAGCAACATTACTACAGGCTACTTTTCTTGGTGAAAAACTTAGGCCATCGCCCCTTTTGGAACGACTCAAATTTAGGCATGCAGAAAAGCCCACAATGTAGAAAAACCGGGAATCATTATCTGCCTTCTTTCCTTCTACCTTTATCATTCGTCAGTATCAAATCAGACTTTCGTGGAGCCATTTGTTTTCAAATTCAGAGTAAAGAAGGAATAAAGTTATCCCCAAGTTTTGTTTTCTTACTTGAATGAGACTTTATCACGTGTCACACGTTCAGCCACTCATGAATTGTTGAGAATCACAACAGGAAGCCCTCCGTTCCATCGAAGAAGCCACTAGGCCAATGAAAGTGCTCCTGGTGAAAAATTCCGGTGAAAATTGTGCAAGCTATTGTTTGGGTTTCAACGAATATTCGTTTTTGGGAGATGAAGAAACACGTTGTGGGGGTTGGTTTTGTTTTAGCTGAAAAACGGACCAAGAGAATGACCAAGAAAGTTGAGGTGCAGGAAAAAAAGAAGGGTCGACGGTCTAATGACAACTTTTTCGTTTACATTTCGCTTACTTTTAAAATATTCTCCTAGCCTTTAAGAACAAAATGAAACAACAATAATTAGCAAAGAGTTTAAGTAATGTCGTCAGCAAAACAATTTCGCGCGTTTTTTGAAGATAAACAAACCTAAACTCCTTCATATTTATTTCTATCATTGCACAGTCAGAATTCATGACTCTATTGGAGACAATGATTTCTGACAATACTAAAACATTCAAAGCCATGTCCAAGGAAGTAAGAAAGGTGTTGCTTTGTCCTAAATTAAGCCGTTTTCTTGCATCAAAGGGTGTCAGATGGAAATTCATTCCCGAAAAAAGTCCATGGGAAGGAGGCATGTGGGAACGCTTTGTCCGCAGTGTAAAACGATGGCTTTTAAAAATCGTAGGCAGAGCTATGTTCAGTCATGTTGTGTTATGCACCATCCTTGTTGAGATAGAAGGGGTTATCAATTCGAGCCCATTAACGTACATTTTCGATTATACTGAAGGTATCTCTTTTCCTTTAATGCCTTCACATATGATTAATGGAAGAAATTTGTTTCAGAGACCAAATGATAGGTTTGGAGAAATAATCAGCACTTATGAAACACTCTCTAAACGTGCCAGGTATCATTTTGGATTGTTGTGGCAGTTCAGTAAACGGTGGAAGCGAGAGTATCTATCTGGCGCAACAACATACTAATTTACCTTCTCTGCCTGTAGGAAACGTCGTCGTTTTGAAAAACGAAGGCACAAAACACTCGTTTTGGAAGCTTTGCAGGATAGAAGAACTTTTGAAAGGACGAGATGGCAATGTAAGAACAGCAAAGGTAAAGGTGCCAACAGAGGTAAGGGTAACCAAATTTTCATTAGACCCTTACGTCATCTTATTCTGATTGAGATAAAATCAAAACAGTCGACCAATACTAAGGCTGACATCCCATTTGGTTCCACACCAGCGCAAAAGGGCAGTTATGGCAGTGCAACTGCAGCAGCTAGTGGTCCTTTGGCAAGTAGGCCCAGACGCAATGCGGCTATAGTGGGTGAATTGCTTCGTCAAAATATGTTGTAATCATATATTTACTCGTATATTATAAAATTTTGCTTGTGTTTGTTATTCTAATAATTGTTATGTTTTTATTGATCATCAAGTGATCATTCCGGGGAGTGTTGAAGAGATTATGTCATATTCTGGGTGTAGTCACGTGACATTGTATTCGCCATGTATTAGCCACGCTATGTTGACAGAATCAGAGAGTAGTTGTGATTCAGCGGTAACTGACATGTAATCCAGTAGAAAATAATTATGCTTAAATATATATGCTAAAGCTGCAAGTTTTCCTTTTGCACTTCTGATCCACAATGCAAACTACTCAACAACTAGAGCAAAAAAATCGCACATCAACCATTTTGAACGGACCAATGTCCTGATTACCCATGATGCATTGTCAAGCGCGAAAAGGTCTATTGGCATGAAAGGATATGTTGAAGGTGTTTGCAAGTGTTTAGTCGCTTATTCTCTTTTTGATTTTTTATTCATGCGTACTAATTTTTACATGTGGAAATATACCCAATCAGGGCAACGCCAGACATGCAGGCTGTCAAGACAACTAAAAAGTAAGGCAGCTTTTTCAAGGAACTTTGTATGACCAATTACCTGGTCTTTTGAAATATATATCTGAAGAGCTTGAAGGATTTTGTCAGTCCCAAGTTTCATGTCTAAGTCTACGCGAAACAAAACATTTTTATTTATATCTAGTTATACTCAATCAGGGTATACTCAATTTGTATCTAGGTGACTCTATATTTTGTTGAACCCCCTCTTTATATCATGACGCAATAACTCTAAAATCCTACTTTTTTAAATGCAATCTGAATATGGGTAGAGTGGAACTCCGCCTTACAGCCACTTTGTTAATACACCCACTTTGTTAGTACAGCCACCTCGCTATAATGGCCAATTTGTTTGGCTCGGAAAAACGACCATACATAGTCTCATAAAAGAACCCTGTTAATGCAGCCTCCCGTTTATACTGCCGGCGGCCACATTTTGCAAGATTCTTTATAGTTTTACCCTGTTAATACAGCCATTTGTATTTAGCAAATCTGTAATAAAATCACAATAATCTCTTTCATCTTTCTCTCTCTCTTTTACAAAAGAACTTTTTATTATCAAAGTCGCTTGCTTTCAGTTGTGATTGCCCACACTCAAAGTGATTGGCTGGAATGCATAACGAACCAGTCAAAAGTCACCGATTCTTTTGCAAAATCTAGGACATGATTGGTGAGTAAGGCCCAAGAATCCCTGTCGTTTTGTTTGTGGACTAGTTATTTAACAAATATTTTTATCACTTTAACTACATTTACAAATGTCTATTAAAGAGAACAGTTCTTTAGGATGTTATTATTAATTTCTACCCCTTAAACCGCAAAATTTGACCTTTGCTTGGTATAACAACCATCCCCTTAATAGGGTCAATTTTTTGTGGCCTGTTGGTAGCCGTATTGATTGGGTTCCACGGTACTTTTTTATAAGCTGTTTTATACAATTATTCAGCCAAGATGACAACGAGGATAAGTCTAACTTTGAAATAATATTCCGGTTGAAACCATTAAAGCATTCAAGTTTTCTGTTCTTTGTCAATTCAAAGACTTTCTTTGATAGCAAATTTTGAACAAGTACTCTCATGTCACGTTCCTTTTGGTCCTTTTTGTGATAACCGCTTGATTTGGATGCATGTACTTGCTCCTGAGCCTCTAAGAATCAACCAGCAAATGACTCACGCATGGCAAATCTCTCCTGCAAATTGTATAGAAGCTCCTTTGGTTGTAAAGCTGTTCCATTTTCAAGTCACAAGAAATATTGCTTCAAGTACTTGTTTGTTGTCCGATTCCATATGACTTGCTCTGCTTTGGCTTGGTATTGATATTAGCTTGCAACAGAAATGCAGCAAAACCATATTTGTAGTGATTGCAAGCTTTAAAATATAATATGAATAGTTTCCAGCACCAGACTAGTTGTGCAGCATCTCCTTCTTTAACTGCATCATCTACATTGCCAAGAAGTAATCCTAAACACAACCTTGCACTGCAGTAATTAAGAGCATCATCTGATATTGGGATTTTACTGGCTTTCTTTTAGAGCTTTTAGGAAATATCAGTGGCTATCCTTTTCATGATATCTTCTTATTTGTTCATGTCTGAATATCATTGTGCAGCCTGGGCTACGACAATGGAAACTTTCTGCTGGGTTGAGGTTTTTTCAATTGTTGAAAAATCTTCTGCTTGTGGAGTGACAATATATTGCAGAATCATCTTCTCCACATGACTGTAGAGCCATTCTTTTTTCTTCTCATTGTTGTTATTTAAAACAAAAGGAGGTATCACCTCCTCAGCACAGACATCTTGTTTTCCTTGGTTGTCTGCCGCAAGGCAGGTTTAGCGCTACACGCACAAACCATCACGATCTTCAGCTCAATGACAACGAGCTCATACTCCTTTTGCCGTTTATCTTCCCTTCAATGACATCCCTTAGTGGTCCCTGGAGTCTCATAATGTGACCAATCCATTTCTTCTGCCGGTTATATATGGTTGAGATTAATGAGATTGGCACAGACATCAATGCTTTGTATATAAAATATTTCATTCCTAATGTTACAAGGAGTCCATCAGTCTCAAAGTTTACTCCTTGCCCTCTTTGAAATTATCCAAGACATTTCCTTTAGCATTTGTGTTTCGAACGAAATTCATGTTATATGTCATCGTGCCAAAATCTTTTGCAGACTCTTCATTGAAACGGCTCATCAAGTATCTGCAAAATATAAGGCTGGACTTCAAAAATTTTATTCCTTTAAATATAGTCACAGAAATTTCTGTTTGAATGAATAACAGAAACAGCTCAAACTATATAAATATATATACAAAATTATACCTTGTCAATTTATCTTTTGGTAGCCAAAATAGCCGAAATGGCATTTCTCATTCCATTTTCATCCCCCACATGT